CTTCTTCTTCTTCTTCTTCTTCTTCTTCTTCTTCTTCTTCTTCTTCTTCTTCTTCTTCTTCTCTTCCTCCTCCTCCTCCTCCTTCTTCCTCCTCCTCCTCCTCCTCCTTCCTCCTCCTCCTCCTTCTTCTTCTTCTTCCTCCTCCTCCTCCTCCTTCTCCTCCTGCTCCCCCTACTATTTCTTCTTCTTCTCCTTGAGTATTTTGTTGGAGAATGAAAGTCTCATGTACGTTCCTGCCTGGGCTGGCGTCCAATTTCAATCCTCAGATCTCAGCTTCCGGACTAGCTAGGATTACAGGCATGAGCCACTAGTACCTGGTCTGGTATCTTCTTTTTCACCTTCCTCTCATCTATTAATTCATCCTCTAAACAATTACCCTTTTAAAACCATGTCACATTATCGTTTTTAGGTCTAGATTCCTCATAGGCTGGAAAACATGCAATATTTGTCTGTGAGCTGGGCTCAATTATACAGAAATATGAAATTATTCTGTTTAACTGTTTACAGAAAAGTGGGTGGGATTAGAGAACACCATGTTAAGAGACATAAGCCAGGCTCAGAAAGACTTGTGTGCAATCCTAATGCAAATTGGTTATATATATTCAAATACAAATTTAATTTTTTGCTTTTATATATCATAGTGCATTCATTATAGATTTATTTCAATGGTTCGAAATTCAACCTACTGCACATCTTTTTTTCTCTCTCACTGTAAATTAAATTTTACAATGCACCTACTATGAAATGATCCCATATGTGTTCTTTTTTTTTAATAGTGATCTGAGACCAAAAGGAGGAAGAAGAGCAGTAACATAAAACTAACACTGTAGGTTAACAGCCCTCTCCAAGAATATCTAAATCCCTGCACCTTTAGCCCTACTTTGTATGGATGCTTATATATTCTTTTGAAATGTATTTGTTCATTTTGAGATGTTTGTTTCCTTACTAGGAAGCCCAGGTGGTCCTGGAACTTCTGAGCTTCCTACCTTCCCTTCCCTAGCATTGGGAGTACAGACACGCACTGCCAAAGTTCATAGATTCTATACAGCCTAATAGGTTCTGAGAAATACCTCAACACAATTATTCCTTTCGTCTGTCTCCTACGTTACCCCTTGAAAAGGTTAATGTCACGAATTTTCATACTTGTTCTCATCAAAGCTTAGCAAGTGATCAGGTAGTTACTCATTTTCTCTTTCTTCTACCTGAGCAGGTTGAGTCTCCAAGTTATAAAGTCATTTCCTGGATCTTATCTAGCAATAACCAGGCAGACACATCAAGATCTCAGGCTCTCCACCTTTATTCCATGTCCAAACTAGGACATCAATGAGGAATGCTAAACTACATACATGTCTCTTTTTTTTTTTTTTTGGAGCTTCGAAAGGATCAGAACCAGATAGTCCTTCTCATGAATGGAGGGAGAAAATTGTTTATTTGATAAACATGGCATTGTCACTGTGCAAAGGGCAGAGCCCCAAATAAAAATGCCCACTTGGCAGATAAGTGATTAATGGATCTCTATTACAGAGTTTTATAGCTGAAGATATCCTCTGACAGAAGGAGCCTTAGCTACAGGCAAACTCGAACACCCTGACATATGAAAATCACATGAAAAAAGATAAAATACTGAAAATAACAAAGGAGGATGGCAAAGATAAAGCTGCTCACACACATTTTTATGGAGGTTTGGGCCAGACACAAAGTCTTCCACGTACAGCTCTACTTCTTATCTAAAAGAGCACAAATGTACCTACATATCATGTTTTTCCTTCTTCAAAGGGGTTATAGTTCTGAACTGGTTTATCTATGAAAAATAATCTCAATAAATCATTTACTTTGACAGAGCTGTCAGGGAAGGTAATTTATGCTATTGCTTAACATTTCTATATTGAATTTTTTTGTCCTGAACTTCAAGTCTACCCTGTTATTTACATGCTGGCATGTTTTGGTTATTTTATGATGCATGGAAGTTTATATATATATATATATATATATACATGTATATGTATATATATGTATATGTATATATATGTTCTTATGGTGCATAGACATTTTGAATAAATCAAATAAATTCCTCTTTAAAATCCTAAATCAACTCTGATATTTTCAGATAGCCTTTAAGAGAAGTTAGGAAAAGGAAGAGAATTCTGAGGAAGGTAAGAAAAGAAACTCTTTAGAATCTGACAGAATAAGACATAAACACACACACACACACACACAGAGCAAATCATTGAATGGATGATACAAATTATCATGTGCTGATTTCTTCACAGAAAAAAAAACAGGCAAAGAATAACACAAAAATATATAGGCATAGTACATTAGTTAAAACTACTGGTCAATCTTTGTAGTCTGTTTCCTAGCTGAGAACCATAAGAAGAAAGACTTTAATTTCATTCACTGTTAAATTCCCAGATACTAGGAGCTACCTAGAATTCCTATCAGAACTTCTTCATATATAGTTATTTAATGAATGAATAAAGCTGCTTGAGTTGTACACAAAAACACCACTTGGAAAAACTCCCCTAAATAAATAAAAATATCATAAATAGCTTTTACCTGAGGCCTAGCATACGTGATTGCTGTGCTATTGTTACTCAGACTGACCCTGTGATGCGTTTTCACAGTATTCTCTCACTTTACAAACCACTATTCCTAGTTCATGTTCCCATGAAGAAAGATCCTCAGACTACAGTTCATCACTGTGGATTCAGAAATGGACTGTGGTGATTTCATGTTTTCCTACCTCATTGCTTTTCTACCCTAAACATTTTCAATAGAAGGGCAAGTGTATTCTGTTGTTGGTGATTCTTTTTTCATTTTTGTTTATTTGTTATTGGTTTGGGTTTTTTTTATCAGCTGGTCCTGGGGTTTGAATTCAGGGCCTGTGCACTGTCCTTTATGCTCAAGACTAGTGCTCTACTACTTCAGCCACAGCTCTGCTTACAACTATTTTCTGAGAAGTTTATTGCATATAAGAGTCTCACAGACTTTCCTGCCCAAGCTGGCTTCAACCGAGATCCTCAGATCTTAGCCTCCTCAGTAGATAGAATTACAGGCATGAGCCACCAGCATCTAGTTTGAAGTGCATTTTGAAGGGGAGGCATGCTATTCCATGATCTATTACAGGTTCTAAAATTTGCCATTTGTGATATCTAACATTGTCATCTTCAGTGAAAATATCCCTGAAGAGTAAAAATATTGGACTTAGATCAATGAGGAGCTCTGATTGGTTAATCAGACAAAAGATAGTTTATTTGTGGGTGGGACTGAGGAGGCCGATACCACATCTACAGCTGTCTCACCTTTGTAATCCTCACCAGCAGCATGTGTTTACTGAGCCCCAAAAATGTGACTAGTAGCTAGGTGTGCCTACAAATTCAAAGCCATGGGTTCAAATCTCAGTACTGAAAAATAAAGTGCATAGAGTAATACACATCAGATTACAATGACTTTATTCTCTCCCCCCCCCAAAAAAAAGATACATAAAATTTCATTAATAGAGATTAGGGATTTAGCTCCGTGGAGAAGCACTTGCCTAGCAAGTGCAAGTTCCTGAGTTTGATCCTCAGCTCTGAAAAATAATCAATAATGATTTTATAATGATTACATCTGGAGAAGATATTATTTTTGGAAGATATTATTTTTGAATATCATGCTAAGGGCATGATATTCAACCTTGTTTATAATTTTATATGGCTACAAGAAAGTTTTAAATCCTATATTTGTCTTGTCTTGTACCATCTTGCTCGGGATATGTTAAGTTTATCCGAGAGGATACTGTATTAAGCACAAATTTATTAATGTATATATTAATGCACAACCGCATACTCATTTGTGGTGATCTTCTCTTGTGTAGCTCTGGGAATTAAACCCAGGACTGGGAATTAAAACCCTGACTCTATGCTCTAAGAATATGAACATTTTTAGAATAGGCTAACAATATCCCCACAAACTTCAATTTATGTATCATAAATAACCCCCTGAGGGGTGTTACAAAATTCCCTCTGCTGGTTAGAGGACAGTCAGGTAGAAAGTCAGTGAGACATTATCTCCAAGAACAAGCCAGGTGTTATGGTGTGGTGTGGTATGCCTATAACCCCAGGTATACAGGAAGCATAGGTAGGAAGATTATGGTCTGAGGCCAGCCTGGCCAAAAAGTACAAAAGAGTTAGGGACATAGTTCAGAGAGTAGAGCACCTGCTAAGAGGTACAAAGCCCTAGGTCAGACTAGTTCCACCAGAGAGAGAAACAGAGATAGCGACAGAGGCAGAGGAAGAGAGACAGAGATAGAGAAAGAAAGAGCAGGAAGAAGAGGAGGAGGAGAAGGAAAGGAAGGGAGGAGAAGGGAGAAGAAGGGGAGACAAGGAGGAGAAGAAGGAGAGAGGAAGGGGAGAGGGGAGAGGGAAGGGAAGCAGGAGAGCAGAACAGTGGTTCATTAATCTGGCACAGCTCAGTGATGGCTTGCCTATGGCTTCACATTCAGGAGGTATTAGATTCCATTCTCATCCTCTCTCTCTCTCTCTCTGTCACACACACACACACACACACAGCTGAGTACAGTAATTAGATGTGCAAACACATTCTAAAGTCCATGAACACTAAAAGAGTAACACAGAAATGACACATGATACCCCAGCCATAAAAATGGTGCATCTCATTTTTTTTATTCCAGTCAAATAAAATGGTCCAAAGACCAGAAAATAGCGTAGACTTTGGTTTTTACAGTTTGGTTGTTCTTTATCAGATGAACAAGATATTTTGTATCTTAGATTTCTGATTACATTTGGTCCAGTTAAGAATATTTTGGATATGTGTTCTTAATGAGGATTTTTTTCAAGTCCTGAAAAGATTCTTGAAATGAAATCTGACATTTTTCTTTGAATGAGCAAGCGAATGAGGTAAAGATAGAATGCAAGACATGTCCCAGTCTGCACCAGAGCACCCCTGCTTTGCCTAAGTGGATATCTTAACCCTTCTTAGGCAAAATGTTTGGTTTAAACATCAAAACAGAGTTCATGGTATCGTGACTGTATGCACAGCCAAAAGAACAGGGCCCTTAATTGAGATATTACAGCTCTTCTCCTCATCTGGTTCAGAAAATTAACTGAAAAATGGTTTTCTTTTATAGTCCCAAATAACTGTGGTAGGTTTTGGCAGTGTCTTTATGTAATCAATGTCCCAGTGAAATTCTTTCCTCTACTCCAATAAATCCTTTCCCATGACAAACTATGATTATATAGTTGATTTCAGTGATCTCACGGGGTCTTGTTCATTTTTGTCAACTTAAAAAGCTAAAGTTTTGTTTGTGGATGAGTGATTATATACTGGCTTTAAAAGAAATTAACAGAGAATGCATTCTGCCTACTGAGCTGATGCTGCTTCACAAGGCTTTTTGCATGCAAGAGGTCGGGAGCTTCTCCCTTGTCTTGGAACCCTTGATTGATACCTTGAATACAAAAAGGCCCTTTGCAAAAATGTGCAGTTCTTAAAATACAAGATAGGCACCATCATCCTAAGCCCCCGAAGGTGATTCAAAGGTCTGGGTTCTTGTTCAACCCTTTTGCTTTGGAGAATATTACTGTCCAGAATTTGTACTGATATTAAAACTACATTTCATCTCTCCAAGACTGTGCAAACACTAGCGTGACATAAGAACAAACTTATATCCAGTTCTCAAATAAGTTCCCCCTTTGATTCCAGGAATCACCGTGTATTTCCCAAGAGACACATAAAACTTACGCTTTGAGGACAACCAGAAAGCTGTATCCGATGCACATGATCCCCACCAGGAAATAAGACAGGGGAAGTCTGAAGTTCAGCCATCCAATCGTTCGTTTATTGTCATAGTAGCCATAAAAGAGGATGGAATATTGTGCCAAACCCTAAAATCCAACAATAAAACCACTTAGCACATACCGCAAAGAGAAACTCAAAGGACAAGAGAGCCTGGAGAGGAAGAACGAGATGACATTTCTTTTCAAATATGGGGTCACCTCTCTGACAGGAGCCCTAGTTTTTGTTCCACACTGTGAAGGTTTCGGCTGTCACAGCTTCTTGGTTTACATGAAATTCAGTGACTTGTAAGTTGACAACATTTTAAACCAAGCCCAGGCTTGCTCCACTGTGAGTCCATTAGCGTGACAAACCCATTGATTTAAACATCAAAACAGAGTTCATGGTCGCATTCGCTTTACAGTGTTGAAAGCTTGCTTAATACGGTCAGGAAGGAAATTCGTGTCAGAAAAATGATGTAGCAGGTTCCCTTTTCCAATCAACCGAGCCATAATTAAAGCAATTCTACAAAGTGGGAGAAAAACAAGGAAGGGGTAACATTGTCCAAAAGAAGTAATGTACTCATTACTTGACTTATGAAATAGTAAACCCTCCTGATAACACCTTCATAATAACAATAAAATGATATTAAAGATAAAAGAGCAGTCCTTCTTCAACACAGAGGTTGTGTCTCAACTCCAACTATTTGGAAAGACTAAGTATTCAGGAGCATACTGGAGGCTGAGATCTGAGGATCTGGATCAGAAAGTCTATGCGACTCTTAACTCCAACTGATCACCAAAAATCTAGGAGCAGAGCAACGGCTTCTTTGGTGGAGCAACTAGCTTTAAACATAAAAGCTCAGAAACAGAGCCCAAGCCCTGAGTTCAAGCCCCAGGACCAGTACAAACAAAGACAATGAGATGATATTGGGTCTTCCATTCATAAAGACTATAACAGCATTTTCTCTAATAAGCATGTCCATTGATATATCGTGTTTTCTTTCCTAAACATTACTTGCCAAGAGTTACCATTTCCCAAAGCCTCCCAAGAAACTCCTGTTCATACAGATAATACTAGCATACTTTGTTGTTTCCTCTTCTATGGTGTTTACCTCTCACACACACACATCCTCTGTTTTTCACTCATCAATATTAATGCATGGTGTCCACATTACCATACAGCCGCTTCCATCTCCTCTCTGATTTCTCTGACAATCGTTTCATATTATTGTGCTTCGTAAAATGAGAAGACAATAACTTGCCAATTTGAGAGATTCTCTTAAGATCAGATGACTCAAACTAGAACCTTACAGAACTTAACTGTTGCCTTTAACATCTATAATAACTGCTTAGTTGTGGGACTTACAATCCCACAATGCAAAAAGAAGTGGGGAGACAGGAAGTGTGGAAAGGAAGAGGGAGAAATGACTCAGATGCCAAATTCCTGGGGAGAGAATGATGCCGAGTAATTGAGAAAATAGCCTTAAACAAAGAGCATATCTTACTCAAATCAGAGGTTAATGGAGATGGAAAGAAAAAAAAAAAACAAAAACGATCGCTTCCAAATTTGCGGCAATGTTTTTAATACCGGAAGAACTAGTGGGAAATAAATCAGCAGAAAATCTCCCAGGAACTCGTGGGTTTAATTAGGGCTGGGATGAGATGAGAGGGCTGTAAGTAAATAGCGCTGAACTTTCCTGCTCTACACAGGCCTGTATTTTTTTAGTTTCAGAAAAATAAAAGAAGGCCATTATGGGATGGTTAATCTTGTGTGTCATCCAGCGTGGACCCTGAGGAAAGCAGATCAGTTTTGGGGTGCCTCTGGGAGGGAGTTTCTGGATGAGATTAGCTTAATCTTTGAGTCAATGAACTCAGTAAAGCAGGTTGCCCAGCCCAGTGCATTGGGCCTTGATCAAGCCATCTGGGGACTGAGGGCAATGCATAATAGAAGGAAGAATTTTCTCTTTTGTAACCTGTCATACTGCTTCAGCCCGGCAGGCTCAGCTCATCTCCTCCTGCTCTTAGACTGGCTTCCATGCCATCAGTCCCTTGGTTCCCAGGCTTTGGTGTAAGACTTAATTACTCTACTGGCTAGCATGGTGTTCTAGCATTCAGGAAGCAAAGGACTTTGCCTCCATAAATGTGAGTTGATTGCCTAAAATGAATTTCCTCGTGTATGTAATAAAGCCATTATTTATACATACTGTCAATTATATATAATATACAAAGATTTATATATCATAAATCTAAATAAGCAATTGAAAGTCTGTCTATATATTAGTTTTGGATTATCCATTTCTGGAGAACCCTGACATATGCAATCCTGATGAACACTTGGAGGTAAACCATTAGCAAAAAATAAATAAAATCTCAATTGTAGAGCAAATGGGCTAATCGTGTGTCAAAAATTTAAAAAAAAAAATAGACACGGATTTATCAAGACCAGAAATCTTTAGGACTTCTAAGAGCTGACTTCCATTTCATCTTCCTGTTTCATACTAATCTAGTTCAGGCCTTGCCCTCAACTGTGTTAAATCCAATCTCTTTCTATTCTGTCCAGAATCTTCTCACATGTTACCCTAGCTTGGGGCAATGATAGCCTGTTTATTTTCCCCCATGGAATGATGGTTTCCAAGTTCCTCTGTTTTCTTCGCCACTGAGCCTTCCGCCACTTCCTTGCCACAGTCCTGACACTCAGCATCAATGAGAGCTGTGATAGTAGCAATCAATACATATTGTGAATGACTGAGCACGTGTTGAGCGCCTTCCTGCGGCTCACAGGATTCCCTTGGGAGCCTGAAGAAGTTGCCACTGTGAGAAATAAACACTTCCCCTCTCTGGGTGCTCTGTTCCACGTGCTGGAGATCCATAAAAGTAACTCTCTCAGTAGTTCTGGGCTGCTTCACTCTGACCCAGAGGAGTAGAAACCAAGGGAATAGAAGGGCAGTAAGTGATGGAGTAGAAAGCTCCTTTCCTGCTCCAGATAGCACACTGTGTCCTCTGTCCCTGCAAAAGGAAGTCTGTGCTGGCAGAAAGGTCTAGATGCAAGGCCTACTTTGTCCATAAAGTGTTGCCACATTCTTCAATGCCTCCTTATACGGTTACAGAGATGACAGGTCGAACTCCACCCAGCTTATGCTTCCTTTGCTGTTGTCTTTGTGGTTTGTTTGTTTCTGCCTGCCCTGGGATTAGATCTCAGGGCCTGGGCACTGTCCTTAAGATTTTATGCTTTAGGCTAGCTCTCTACCACTTGAACTCCAGCTTTTTGGTTCTTAATTGGAGATAAGAATCTCACCGTTTCCTATTCAAGCTGGCTTAGAATCTCAATCTTCAGATCTCAGCCTCCAGACTAGCTAGGATTACAGGTGTGAGCCACTAGCACCTGGCGTTACTCTTTGTCTTTTCTTTGGTTAGCTCAAAACCTGGGCTGAACAATAGAGGAGGTATCATAAACCGCAATAGTTACTATCCCTATACCTATTTTACACATAAACTGAGCCTCAGAGAGGTTAAGGAACTCCTCCAAGTTCACACAGCCAGTAAATATGGTCGGAATATGAATTTGAACCAACCTTAATGCCAGGTAGTTAAGCACTTTGCTATATTCCTTCTCCTGGGCTGTTTTTGTCTCCCAAGATTTGTATCATGCTACAGCCATATATTCCCCCAGAAAGAAAGAAAAACAGGGAGAAGAGGAAAGAAAAAAGAAACAGAGAGAAGGAGAAACCGGAGGCCATGGCTCACGCCTGTAACCCTAGCTACTCAGGAGGCTGAGATCTGAGGATCGCGGTTCAAGGCCAGCCTGGGCAGGAAAGTCCATGAGGGTCTGATCTCCAATAAACCACCAGAAAACCAGAAGTGGTGCTATGGCTCAAAGTGGTAGAGTGCTAGACTTGAGCTGAAAAGCTCAGGGACAACTCCCAGGCCCAGAGTTCAAGCCCCATGACTGACCAAAAGAGAGGGGGGGGGGAAGGGAGGGAAGGAGGAAGGAAGGGTCATACCACCAAGTGTGCGTGGGCTTGGATCTGTGCCCTTGGATTAGTCCTAATGGTGGAAGAACCTCTTAGAAAGAAAGAACCCTAGACATGTTTTTTTAAGAGAGAACTTCTCTATATCTGTAAATGTTATAGTCTAGCATTTTTTCCTAATTGATAACTTCAGAATTGGGATCAAAAGCCACCTTGAAGATGACATGAGGGGGAAATGTAGATCTATAACTAGCAGCTGGTAAGCTTGTTAGGTGAGCACAATAGCTACCAGGCCTCAGGCTCATCTGGTGTGTGTACCAGTCAACATATGTTCAGTGGTTGGCACTTCATAAATATTACACCACACCACGGTGGGGGCGGAGGGCATCCTGATTCTATACCAAGCTTTTGCTCCGCTTGCCTAGTTGCTCTACATAGACAGAAGTGTGTAAATGGCAGAGGTATTATTAACAAACATCGTTTGAACACAGCTTTATCAGACACATCTTAGGAGCTCATTAAGGTATGGCTTGAAATATGTAAGTTGTAGAAGCGGGGAGGATAGCCCTCCTTTCCCCCCAGAGAGCATGTGGCTCTGCAAACATCTCTGAAAACTCTGCAGCAGACATCTGGGAGTGATTAAAATAGAACTGAGTCGTAGCCCGGCCAGTGTTCTATTCAGTTTCCATGTCAGTGCGTCCTGCTTTCTCTGTGGGAGCACTCCCCCACCCCCAAATCTGTGACAGAAGCCAAAGCTGGAGCCAAGGGTCAAATGAGCACAGAAAATTCCAGCCCAATGCTGAGATTCTATGCTAGAACAAATGTCTACTGATTCTGTTGAGAAGCTGCAGTAGGTCTAGGACAGAGTCCCTGACACATTTTCATAAGAAAGACAATGCTTTGATTATGGGGTCACTATGAATCAACTCCTATTTATGTAACTAGCATATATGAAGAACATACATTAATATTTGCCAAATATTCTACGTAGACAGAATGGGAGTCTAGATTACAGAGATGCCGAGGAGTTTTGCAGGTAAAATATCTATTCATAAGTATTTGTCACCTGAAAGTACAGTCGAATACCATCTCTTCAGGGTCTCTTAAGATTATAAAGAAATAATCACTGGGTCAGCAAAT